CTTGACCTATCAGCTCAAGTGCTCACTTCACGATTCTCCCCGTGACATCCCTGGTTTTGGACGACCTCGACGAGGGGGAATGACGTTACGACCGTCACTGGATATGACTTAAAGTAGTGACGCAGCTACTCTTGGCGATGAGGATGACGTACAGAAGCTTCTGGATTTGAGGTAGCAAGTCTTGAAATCGGACAGGACCTCGCTAATAAAGTACACGGGATGTTGCACTTTAAGGGCGTGTCTCTTTCTTCTCGCTCTACCACCGGGGCAGCCCTGACCACTTGCGTAAGGTGCTGCATCATAGTACTACGAAGGCTCCCACCTGAGCTCGACAATTCCAACTCAGGAGACTCACAACCTGTTCGGATGGTTGGCTGGTTCGTGGCTGGATCGTGGATTATTACTGCTGGCTAGTTTGGTGAGAGAGAAAAATACTGTTCCAGCTGGAAATTTACGATCATTTATGAGATCCACCAGCCAACCGAATAGGCTGTCATAGCCAGGAGGGTGAAATAAGATGAACATTCAAAAACTCAGATCAGCTGAACTGTGAATCGTGAAGAAGAAGCTGACGAACACCATACAGGGAAAGCCAGATGACTGAAGCGAGTAGAGAAGCAATAGAGAAATAGAGGAACAAAACACTGTACAAGAGCTTATCTGGTAGGCTCACCAAGCTCTGCGACAGCACGCAGGTCGTTGGCGGCAACAGCGGCGGCACACGTAGACAGCGAAAAGGCAGCGAACGGGGGTGGCGTCGGTGGCAGCAGGCCCTGGAATCGATGACTGCGGCGGCGGCGGCAGCAGCAGCAACACTCGAGGCGTGGCCCGGGCTGGGCAGTGAGCACGCCAGGCTCAGGGGCGAAGGAAGATACTGGGATAGCCGGAAATGACGGCGGTGGCGGCAGTGGCGGCGGGTGAACCCTAGGCCGCCCCATCGCTCAAGTCAGGAGTCTCTTTGGATGGGATTATCTCTTGACCAGAGCTCTTTGGCTGCCGCTTCACTATGAGGATCCAATGATTTGGAGCGGCAAGCAGAAGATTGGATCTGAGTGGTGCTGATGTCGATTTGGAGGTTAATTTTGCGGAAGATGCAAGGATGATCGGTGGATTGCTGAGGGATTTGGGAAAGGGGAAAGGAGGAAGGAGGGCAGACCACCTGCTTTCCCAAACGAATCTTGGGCAAGAGATAATCTCAGGCGGAAACGAGCGGATGGATCCGTAGATCAGGCAAGCAGCAATCAATCACTGATTTGGATGGGATGAGACTGGATTCAAGATGAACGGGATCGGATTGGAGAGGAAGGGGAGAGGGGGTAGGTGCCGGCAGTCCGCCCAAAGCTCTCAGGATCGGTTTGCTAGAAAACATTTCAACGGCCTTGAAAAGAGGCTCTATGCACGGAAGACGGAACTACGGGAGCTCATCGATTTAAAAAGAGGCTCCATGCACAGAAAACGGAACTACGGGAGCTCATCGAGTCATCGTGGCAGCCACGGGCTGCAGGCTGTAGCACGTCAGGTAGCCCCATCTCGCACGAGAGTACCGGTACCCGGGCGAGAACTTTCTCGTTTTTTATTTCGGTCGTTAAAATTAAAATTTGTTTGCGTTCCATGTTCACCTATACTTCCAGGAAAAGGCAGTATAGACAGGAGAAAATAGAGACAGACAGTACTAGTACTAGGTTAAGATAAGACATGAGTAAAAAAAAGTTTAAGGCGTCAGCACGGCAGTCAATCCTTTTGCGGAAATTTCGAGTAAAAAGTTGAAGACATCAGCACGCGCGGTCAATCCTTTTGTGGATCGCCTCCTTCCTCCCCTCACCCTTTTCCCCTCCCGTACACAACACAAACCCTAACCGCCAGGCACCTTCTACCCTGAGCCAGAGGCCTCCGTCCATCGAGTCCTTCCGAATCCCCGTGCCTCTGCCTCCCCTTGTTTTCATCCGTCCTTTTGGTGTTGGAGTAGCACTAGTGGCGGCGGCGGCGGCGGCGGCGGCTGCTGCCGGACAGATCCAGGCATCCAGCCAGAGGCGGACCCCGACCCGTAGGGCGAGGTCGGGCGGCCGCCCTACCTCCCCCTCCGGCGGCAGCATGACCCCCCGCGGCCTCGCCCCCTGGAGATCGGAGTCTCGAGGTTGAAGACGGAGACGGAGACGGGAGCAGTGACAGGCCGGCGCAATTGCGCAGCGCGAGGAGGGACGGGAGGATTGGACCATCCTGGACTCTCCCGCGTGGGCCATCATTTAGGTACGCAGGAAGGCAGGGCACACGGAGTCATGGGCACGCACCGCTCGGCACTCTCAAAGTCCGATGGCGCCCTGCAGGTGGCGACGGCGGCGCTCTCGGGCGGCCCCCCCTCCCTGTATCGGCCTCCCGGATCTCGCTCCTAGCTGGCGGCCAAACACAGCTGCACTCGGTGGCGGCGCCCCGCAGTCCGTGCGGCCAGCGGTGGCTCTCTACCTGTATTTTTTGAGCTGGGTCCGCCACTGCATCCAGCACCTCGAATCGCCTGCGGGCTGCGGCTGGGTTCATCGATGGCCAGCGCCAGCGCCCGGCCTGCGACGGCCAATGCTGCGCTTGCTGCCCTGTTTTGACAGCTCCCAGATGTAAGGAGAAGACAAGAGGCCGTTTCCCCTACCGTGGCTGGAGTTGCCGGTGCTGGGCATGGCCGCGTGCACCTACAATTCAGGTGGCGGCAGGAGTTGACCAAGGGCGAGGTGCCACTGCTAATATTGGTGGTGCCATTTGTAGCGACAGAGAATGACAACCAATGGTACAATCTGAATTTCTGAATCTTTTAATTGTCACTGTAGCGCTAGACTGCTAGAGCATAACAACAAGTAGCTGCTCACGTACATGTGTTTACAAGTTTGTTTATATGTGCGTGTGTTTATATCTGGATTTTTTTTGTGATTAAGGATATGCATATTGTAGACTTCTTGCAGTGACGGTTCTGGGAGGCAGATTATGAAAGGAAGATTCATAGAAGTGCTGGCATAAGAGAACAACATAGGCATGGACCTGTGATACTGAGTGGTTATCGTCTCCATTCGTCTGGGCTGACCAAGAACATCACATACTCACCCTTGTGGAGGAGAATTGGGATTGTGTAGTACCGTTTGTTCTTTGGTGGATTATTGTTATTATCATTAAGTAATATGGCAAAGATGACAAATGCTTATGATATATCGCCATGAAGGTGAATTCATGTTGTGTTAATTATTACTCCCTCCATTTCAAATTATAAGTCATTTCAACTTTCGTGGAGCATCTCAAGTTTGACCAAAATTATAGAGAATACAAAGATTTATGACATCAAATAGGTATACTATGAAAATATAATTAATGAAGAATCTAATGATACTTATTTGGGTATCATAAATGTTATTATTTTATTATATAGATTTTTTCAAACTTGAGATGTTTTGAATCTCCAAGAAAGTTGGAATGACTTATAATTTGGTATGGAGGGAGTAGGATTCTTCTACTTGATATTTGTGTTAATTATTAGAGATATGACCCGCAACATGATGAATTCATTTGTTCCTAATTGTAGGTGCCTGCGCTTCCATATCACATCTTAGGATGTCAGATGTCAGGCCAAGGTCTGTATAGTCTCCTTCCATTCTAATTTTATCATATTTTTTGCTGATGTTCTTGCTGGTTAGCTTTTAAGTACATGGAAGGTCCGGTGATTCACACTGTTATTCTTAATATCTCGTGTATAACAATAATCTTATATGTACAGTCTTTGTAGCAACAACACCGGCATATTTCCTTTTTTTTTCCAACCCGGACGAACCAAATTTCATTACTCATAAGCAACGAAATTACAGAAGTTCAGAATTGTGACCACGTAAAACATTACCACACTAACACTGAAGCAGGATGGACTGAACGCAGAGGGTTCATCCAACTGGCTGACCTTACCCAAAAATTTGCCAAACCGGCTATAGCCGATGGCCCGCACGACAAAAACTAAAAGCAGTACGTAAGCGAAGTTATTAACTCGTGTGAATACATGCCCAGTATGGCATTTGCAGCACGCAAGTTGAAATTTGAAAACCCAAAGTTCCGGCTTCCGCCTGATGCGACTCCAAGTCATATGACCACCAGCCTGTTGTCTTCGACTGGCATCTCCCCCTTCTGATGGCAATGGACAATCACCGCCTTCAATGCTTCTGCCGCCTTTGCTCCAGTTGTGAAGATGCTACTTCCTTCTGTAGCCCTGCCGAGTAGATTATCAGAGAAGAAATCAAACATAAGATCTCGAGAGAATTACCTCAGAGAAGAAATCAAACATAAGATCTCGAGAGAATTACCTGTATGGCCTTGAACAAATATGTCTTGTACGACCCTTTTTTTCTTGAACTTACCTGTATGGCCCGAAAACGTAAATCTCTTCCTTCTGTGGCCTTCCGTCCATTTTAGGTCATTGACGGCGTTAAGTGTGGAGTAAAATGACCATTTTACCCCTGGTGAAAAAAATGCAATGCAAGGAGGCGTGGGCGCCGCGCCTGCGTCCATGGAGGATGCAGATGACCGCTCGGACGACATTGCCGTGTTGAGGTATGGCGAGGGTGCGGGCATGGGTGCGCGCTCTGTGATCAGGCGTCGCTCGTCGCTGTAGCTCTCGTCAGCTCCTTGGCCCTCCGAGTCATCCTCCGGAAGGGGCACGACGTCGAGGCACCCAACACTCTGGTGGACAGGTCATGCACATGGCGGTCGTGTGTGGCGGCGGAACTCCCAATCGGCCAGATTTATGTTGAAACCTGATCGGTTGAAACCTGATACAGGTTTAAACCTGTGTTAACAAACGAGTCCCATTTAGCCAGGTTTCACGCAGCTCAGTCTGTATGGAGAATCTATTGAGAGCTGCGGCGATGGATGCAGTAGTACCGGACAAAAGCTTGCTTTTAAAGCGCATCAGCTTGTCGTATGCCATGGACTCGTCGATGTGCGGGGAGACGGAATCCTTGATGGAATCGGACAGCGCGCCCTCATTCAAGCGGTGCGGGGATCGTTCGGTACGCTTGTGGAAGGCGGCGGCGGCTGCAAGGAGCTTGACCTCGTCCGCATCGCTCCAGAAACTGGGCAGCGCCATGGCCTACATCAAGAGCGATGCGCACAGGTCCGAGCCTTTTGAGGTCGCCGTTGTCTCTGTCGAGGCGGACGCTGGCGTCAGACCCACGCGAGGCCTTCGCCATGTTGAGGTCGCGCACAGCTAGTCTGGCAGTCTCTGCAGACTCGCGGAGCGTGCGCTTGAGCTCGCGCATTGACCGGCAGGGAGACCTGCAGCAGGCACGCCGGTGAGGCTAAGCCCGGCCTCCAGGGAGCCTCCCCCGCAACCATGGTCCACCGCTGGCCGGGAGCCGGACCAGGCGGGCAGCGTCCCCTCCCCTGCAGCCGCCATAGAAGGAAGACGCATTTTTCCCAAGGCCATACAGGTAATTCTCTCATCGGTGCTTTTCTCCATGGTGTTTCCTGTCTTCCATATTGCCCAGCATACCGCGACCAAACCCACCCCATAGAACTGTTCTCTTGGTAAACACCAGGTAACCCATATCCAGAATTATGCAAACGAAGTAGCAAGACACCGGCATATTTCCTTGTGATGGCTAATTTAATATCTTGCTCCATGATTGGTACTAGACCGTTTTTATTATCAATTCGTCTTTCCTTGCCTAGTTGTTCCATTCTATTTTGAGGATCAAATTTTGTCATGCTCGCCTTGCATATTTTAATTTGGAAGTTGTTCTTGATTTATGCCTGATTTTTCCTCATAAGCCATTGTTGCGAAAAGGCCTTTGCCTACTTTAATTTGCGATATATTTCATGGAGTTACCTGTTGGTTATTTGGTGTTATGCTTAGCTTTTTGCCATCAGACGGTAGAGTCTTAATTTTCCTGCTTTATTGCTCGGTGAAGTTCATTTTATTTAAACCTTTTGCTATCTTTAGCAAATGATTTGGATGTTGTATAAAATTTATAATTAATGTATTAGGTTCAACCTGATGCTGCCGGCTGACTCCGGCAATGGTGCTTCCTCCCACACCCAGAACGCAATCGCGATGCCTGTGCTCGTGAATGAGGGAATGAAAGATGCAGATTGATTTTCAGCTGACTGATTTTACCAGCGTGCTGAATTTAATCTTTATACAATATACAATAAACCATCTGAGTAATATTGCTTTCATCTGTAAAAGTTTTCTCGTGGCAAACACAACATTTGTATGTAGTTTAGATGGTTATAAGCCACACGCAAACCACAAACCAGAGCTGTTTAGAATGATTTGTTCATAGATACAAATCTTCCAGTCCCCTAGGGACAGATTCTGGTGATGTCTCTTTTTAGTTTTTGCTTTATTCATTCAGTTCTGTCCGATGTACTATCCTGTTAGACTGTACAAAATGCATCAATGGCGAACTGGCCGATCTTTTATCGCAGGGAGTAAATTTTTTCTAGGATTCATTTGCATGGCACATCTGTAAGTTATTCCTTCTTACATGTTCGTCGTAAGGTATACACGTATGGAAGCACTCAGGCAGCTGAAGTTTTTCTGTTCCTTTTTTTTTTTGCCTTGTGGTATACAGACTGTTTAGCAACAGTCACATGTGAACTATTGAATTATGAGGATTGTTTTATGTTTTTCATTTGTTGGCTGCACACACAGCTCACCAGATAACTCGAAGGAACAAGATGGCTGGGCATGAACCTGTGTATATCTCACCAGTTGCACCTATGATGATGAGTATGTTATTGTTATGACATCTCCCTATCTGTTTTCATGATCAATTTCACAATGCAGTGCTCATGACATTTTTTGTATCTTGTTTTACAGTAGTCAAATACTGTTAATGTTGTTAGTTTTACATAGAAAGAATCTTCTTCCTTGAATGCTTGTCTCCATCGAATACAAGTAGGTTGCCACCACTAGAATAATGCCAAGCATGCATGTGCTAATAATTGCATATCTTGTAGGAGATCAGTAGCATTTTGGCCTAGTTCTTGCAGAAGGTGTTAGGGTTTGTTTGGGTTGAGACTTGCAATGACTAAGCCAAATATTGGTCATAGCTAAATTGGGGCAATGCTGAAATGTGGCAAGTTGTTTGGTTCGTAGCCATGCCAAAATATTTACCGAGTCGAGAGAAAAAAGTTTGGATGATAGCCATGCCAAATTTTGCAATTTAGTGTGTATGACGTGGGGTTCACATGTCATTATTTTTTTCTTCATTGAAAATAGCCATGTGGGATATTGTTTTATAGATAAAATGACGAGGAATACCATGGTAAAATAAATTGTCAATTAGAGACATGGTATGGTAGCTATTAGCATTTGAAGTTTTGTTATCTTAAACTTTCGATTCACGTGCATTGGGCTTGATACTTCATCCATGGAGTGGCTTAGAGGCAGGCCAACCCGTTGAACGTTGAAGCGCCATCTTGGTCTGTCTATATTATTGGCCAGACAAATTTTGGCCTACAACCAAATATCAGATAAATCTTCGGGGCTAACCAAGATTTGGCTTGGTCTGTTGGGGTTTAGAACCAAACGTGCCCTGCTTGTTTGTTTGGCGACGAGGTGGTACCGTCCAAGTTTTTTAGGATGGGATGATTCCATCTGTTGGTTTGGTTGTGAGGACAGGTTTTTTGGCCCGTCAACCACCGTCAGCGTGGGCCAACAGTAATTGTTTGGCCATGACAGACCTAGCTCGCACAATGACTCCACTGAGGCCGCCATAGCTACCTGTCCATGTGTCGCCCACTGATCTGAGCAGAGCCGTTCGAGCCCCACCACTGTCGATTGAGTCCGTCCTACCTTGGACCTGCACCCATCATCAATCGAGCAAAAGGACCTTACGGCAGGGCCTGCTAGGTGATGTGCGGACTGCGGAGTGGTGACAGGCTATCTAGTGGCCTGCGGGGCCATGGCAAGGCCTAGCCAGTGACGTGTGCATCTGCCTGGCTGCGTGGATGGCTCGGCGGTGCAGCTTTTGGAAGCTGCACTCCTGGCTGTCCTAGATGGAAGCAGGAGAAAAGCGCTAACGGATTGGAACTGTGTCATAGAGGGACAAGTTGGTCCGTTAGTTTTTGAGGGATGGAATGTCCCGGATATTAGGGAAATATTCCCTAGTGGGGATGACTCCGTCCTAGTCGCCTCAACCAAACACTAGCGACAGTGGGATTGTCGTCCCATTCCATCCTATCCCGTCTTCTGAACCAAATGCCACCAGTTTCTAATGTGTTATGGTTGGGCTGTTTCGAGGTCAAAGGAATACTCAAGGCGCCGTGGATTTGGTGGATCCCTGCTTGTACTTCTAGTTCGTTGTAAAGCTTCTCACAAAGAAAAAAGTGATGTAGTAAGAGTTCCTCTTGTGCCCTCTAGTAGTGCCACATGACATGTATGGTTTGAACTTTAAGAGTCATCCCTGCTGTTAGGGATTTGATGATCCTAGTTTTCTCCCTTTACTACTAGAATGATCCTTTCCCTGTACTACACTTACTACTACAACGATCCTTTTTTGTTTGGTAGGAGGTGTAGGGAGAGATGGGACTACAACGATCCCTTTTTTTGTTTGGTAGGAGGTGTAGGGAGAGATGGGATGGTCCCATTTTTTATCTGAATGAATGGATGGGAAATCATCGTGCCTCTAGAAATGGCGGTACCTAACCCTTAGAAAATGCAATGAATCTCTCCCGTCCATCTCTATACCATGAACTAAAAACACTTTGCATATGTAACCAAAATTTCAAAGTGCTAGGCGGAGCCTGACCATGCTCGTGTTTGTAATTCTCACATGTTAATATAAAAAATGCAAAATTGTGGTATGTTATCAAATAGAGACAAAAAAGGAGTAAAGTTGTATAGCACACATAGTGAAGTGGCCTTAATACGGTGTAGCACGCACCTGGGTGGTTTGTTACTCTGTTATATCCTGCTTTGTACAGCTCCAGCTCTAGGAATCCTATTCATTGAGTATTTCCTGTTCGATATAGCTCCAACTCTAATAATCCTATTTGTTGAGTATTTCTAGGTTCTAAATTTCTGGAGCTGGAGCTATCGATGATGTTGAGATGGGCCATTGTTTTATTCATTTAGACAAAAAAATGCTAAAATGCAACACTGTAGACTAGATAGGCGCATTCAACTTGTAGTGTCATGTAGCAATTCCTCACCAGACCATGTCAAATACACGCATAGAACTTGCATTTGAGCTAATAGTTCATACCAAGTATACCAAGTGCAGAGACAGTGTTACCAAGCACTGTTATTCTCTCAGATATCACGACTTAGATGTAAATCCCTCCGTGTCCATAGCCTACCTGTAGTTTGCATACAAATAAAAGGATTAGAGCATGCATACCAATCATGGCATTAAAGTTTAGACTCTACACTAAGAATGTACTCCCTCCGTTCCAAATTATAAGTCGCTTTGACTTTTGGTACATCCATTTTGCTATGCATCTAAATATAATAATATGTCTAGGTACATAGCAAAATGGATGAACCAAAAAAGTCAAAGTGACTTATAATTTGGAACGGAGGGAGTACAAATTAGAAAATTATTGCATCCTATTGCCTGATAGAATAAATCCTTAGAACAGTTGATATAACAACTACTACTGCTCCCTCCGCTGCTATAGATCATGGGCAGCAAGTTAAATTCTACACTAAGAATCAAAGTTTAGGAGTGGTTAACTCATGAAAGCTTCTGATCTGGTTTGTCTGGATGGCGTACTATCGATTCGTTGCAACCGCTCTACTCCTTCGGCAATGTCAGCGGTGGCACAAGATGCAGTCGCGGCAACAGCAACACAGCCAGCCTGCTTGTCCGTCGTCCTTCCTCAGCACCTACCGCGAACAGGCAGGGCAGGGGTGTCGCTGGTGCAGGATAGAGCCGCCGATGACACTCATCGGTTGCCTCCTTGCCGTCGCCGCTGATTCTGATGGAGAGGGTTCAGCGGCAGCCTCCAATGAAACCCTGGCCACCGTCTTCACCCAGGTTTGCCCCTACATTGTTCGTCTCTTTGATTTCCTTTGTAGCAACCACCGTATCTCTCGCGGACTCCTCACGCGGCTGCACAACAGTTCGAGCGGTGGCGCTACCTGGCCGCATTCTTGGCTCCAACTCACCTCGCCCTTGCGCATCCCCTGCACCAGCACCGTCCCATCAATCATGCAGCCGCCCCAGCCAACTTGGCTACTTCACGTCACCTTGCCCTCGCACGGCCAGCCTGCTCTACCTCGCCCTCACGCGGCGCCCCTGCAGAAAGCCCTCACACGGCCAGCCTACTCCACCTCCACCTCGCCCTTGGCCCCCCACCCTCACGTGGCGCCTGCGCAAAAGCATTGCTCCCGCCTGCAGCCATCTGCCCATCTCCCTCACGTGCCCCCTGCACCAGCACTGGACCCTCAACCGCAAGTATGACCTCTCTCTCTCTCTCTCTCTCTCTCTCAATTTTTACAAACGTATATGCAATTAGATGTGAATATCAATTATATATAGTCTTCTAGATTTTCTTCTAACAATTCTGGTTAATATTGCTATGCTCCAGATGAATGATCTCACTATACCATATCTAATTTCAGATGGTATGCTATTCTGCTTGCTAGGCTGGTGATAAAATGGCATTCGACTCGACAATGCCACTCTAAAATTGTCAAATTATATTGACCTTTGATGTTTCTAGTGAGGCTGATTTATTTGTTTCTATTAATTATTTGCACAAGGTTTGACTTAAATTCTTTACACCATTAATGTTTGTTGCGTAATTGTCAGATTTGGCTGGCACAAACAAACATAGGCCTTCAGTTGCAAAGGTACAAATCTAATCCTCTTATCTAAGTTGGTCTTCCATGTTATAATCCCGGCCAAGGAAAAAATTCAAAAAAGTCAGAAAAAAAACAAAGATTTCAGAAATGTAGTAGTATAGAGAACTAGTACAATGACAGCATGACTAATCACTTGGCAGTACATAAAAAGCAACATATATGTAAAGTATTCACTCATGTCCATCATGATGCTTGCATCAGTTCCATCAAAAGATATCTTTTTATGCAAAGACAATGCTGCATATTACATTAAGCGGACTATGCAGTCCTAAATCCAGAAATCTGCTACAACGTAACCCTTATAATTGGTATCAGCAGTGACTCAAAAGCAGCCAGAACATTCAGGAGTAGCCTAAAACATAATCCAGTGCAAATTCCAGATCGGGGATTTGCTAAATAAACAATACATTCTGCAACAAATTGAAAACATACTGATCGAGTGCATCTACATCAATCTATTCACATATACAGATAAACGAGTACTAAATCAAGAATGCACAACAGCACAAGTGAACTCTTTTAGGAGGCCTGTGGAACATTCAAAAAGTATATAGCTAACTAACATATGAACTGCTTGGGAATTAGTCAGCATTTTTGCAAAATGGACCATTTTGGATAATTTTTGCACAGGCCGGACTAGACCATACACATAATCTCAGGTCCTAATTCTTGTACTATTGCCATCTTGCACCTGAGATGAGAGGCACACTCTAATGCCATTTCTATTCCTTTTCCTATTGACCTCTTGTGCAGCTAGCCACAGCCCAAAAGCGAATCTTTTTAGGAGGCCTGTGGATGCATAAGGTCCTTACATGCAATGTTCAGTTAATTATTAGTGCGCGTATCACCCAGCAGGTAGCATCAGTAGCAAGTAATTGAGAATGGACAAAGGTGCTGTGAATGGTGAGGTAAAAGGGAATTATTAATCATAGAGTATAAGTTGTGGGAATAGCTGTAATCCAAAACCAGTAACTAAGTTCAGGTTTTTAAAAGCATATCTTTTCCCTTGCATACTCAAATTCACTGTTCTACACTTCAGTAGTGATAAAGCTAAGATTTTTTTTTCTAATAGATCTGCACTCCAAATGAAAATGCAGATGTTTACTGAATGAGAAAAACTTAATTCAAGATGAGTATGGCAATTGCACTGATAAGACAAGGAATATTTTCTGCAAAGTGGTTCTTAACTCTGCTATGCCTGCTGCCGATGCCAAATTGAGACAAAAAAGGTAATGCATCATTTGCTCATGTTTAAATTAACACAGTTCCTCTATATTATATTCATGCATCCTAGAAAATCAATTTACATGGGAAAGTAACGGAACTGCAATACCCTGCCATCAAAATAAAAGGGGCAGACCCAGTGCCGGAGGCTCCCACATGAGTGGGGTCTGGGGAAGGGAAAAACCGAGGCAAGCCTTCCCCCCGCAAAATCTGCGGAGAGGCTGCATCGAACCCGCGACCTGGTGACTCAGTGAGACAACTCTCACCACTGCACCAGGCCTGCCCTTCATGCCATCAAAATATACATCTATTTTATTTACTGATTCCATGAAATTGATTATTAGCAAATATTAGCAAAGATGGTCTTTGAGCTTCCTTCCCTATAGCCTGGTGCCAGGCGAGCCATTGTTAAGCATGTTGCTGGTGTTTCAATCCTCTAATTCCATAGGCCATCATATTTTACGCCAAGTATGATCTTACTCATGAAAATGCAGGTGTCTACAACAATTAGTTTCTACATGGTATGCTTTCTTTTTCAATTAACAATGGTATCCTCAAATAAAAATGCTTATATTTTTCAAGGATTCTGGATACCGATGCACAATTACAATTGTCCGTTTAGTACCTGAACATGTGTAGTGGTGTCGTGTAGTGATGTCCAGCTTGCGATAAATGCAACAAATTATGCACTGCAGAGGGTATTGGATACCATTGTCAACTACTCTGCTCTAACTACAATTGCATGCAAGTAAGCAAATCGCTAGTCAAGTGCGCCTGGTCCAAAATAGTCCACCTTGCTGCATTAAAATTCAAATGCTCACTTGGACACCAAATTGCACGTACAAGCTAACATTTGTTGATTGTCTTATAGTAAATCAAGTGCTATCTTCTGATGCATATCTAGATTCTTACCCCCTTTATTTTCACATGAAAGTTGCCTGTCTTATTGAAAATTCTAACTGTTTTGCTTTATTATCACAATTTCTCACTTTACTCCTAGGTACTAAACCACTGCAACTCTAACTCGGATGCAATGACACGACTCATCAAAACCATGTTCATTCATTCTAATATTAAATACCTTCCAAATTCTTTCTTGACAACTGCATGCAGTGACTTGAATGAGCCAGTATATGACACGCACGGCGAGACTTATTCTCAGATGACGTCAAGTGCAACGAGGTAAATCTGTATTTTATATACACAAATCATCCTTTTAGACGTACTGCCAAAAAACATTCCTATGCCACAGCTACCTTTATTCTCAGATGACATCAAGTATATAACGAGGTAAATCTGTATTTTATATACACAAAGCATCATTTTAGTCCTGCCAAAAAACATTCCTATGCCCAGCTACCTGCATGATTCAGATACTTGCAACTGTGATTCACCCTGTCTATGCTTACTTTAGCAAGCAAGAAAAAAAAATTCCCTTCAACAAGCATTGCTTTGATTACAGATTAAATAAAGATTAACTTTGTTCATTTTACAATGTGGATAGGGCTGGAAAGGCACGGGGATATTTCGGACTGTGGTGTATCCAAAAGGGCACCGTGGATTGAGGGGACAACAAATACACGAGCCTTCTGCTCCACACTGATTGGAATCCCCTGGGATCCAAAGGAGGCCTAATAAGGGGTTTCAAAACAATTCTAAATCATGTAAACATGGTAGCCAAACCAAACATATTGACTCAAATCAAGTTTTGATCAAACCGAGCATGGTAGCCAAGCCAAACATATTGACTCAAATCAAGTTTTGATCCGCACCTTCGTACGTGCCTGGCCGAACCGCCCTTTCAGTACTTCTTGCGACGCCCCATCCACGAACGGCGACGAATCGCCGCTGCGTCCTCGGTGTCCGCACGCTGGCGAGCCGCCTCTTCGCGTGCTCGCTGGCCTTCGCGTCCGCCTGCTGGTGACCGCCTCGTGTTCCTCGGTGTAGCTGAGGCGGAAGTTTCCCGGACCCATCCTGGGCTTGCAGCGCCTGCACTCCCAGAAGATGAGAGGGTCGGGGCCCGCGGGCTGCTGCTCCTCGCCGCCGGCGCCCAGCACTCCGTGATCCATCGCGTTGCCCATCGCGTACGCCGCCGCCGCCGCCGCAACGCCCTCGCGGATTGCTGCGCTACGAAGAACGGAAGCAGAAGCTTTGGTGTGTGGGCTCAATCCAGCCCAATTAATTAAGGCCCACCAGGCAACGTTTTTTACCCCTAACAAAGAGTGCTTGGAGCTGGACCGGCCGGTTGGGCCTGGTCGGCACGTTACCTACCCACCTCGGCCGCCGGCCGGTCGGCACCTCTCCCCGAACACCCGCCCCGACTTCCGTGTCGGTCTCGGGCGCGCGCAAGGTAGCGCCCGCATCCGACGGCCGCGCGGCGCCCGGCAGCGGCGCATCGACGGCTCGCGCCGGCGATGCGACCATGATCCGTCAGTCAGCAGGTCAGAATATTCCTCGCCTTCCCTCTCCCCCATCCTCCTCACAGCACGGGACTCCCTCCCCTCCCCTCCCTCCTCTTCCTCCCCTCCCGCCCCGCGGCTGGAGGTGGTCACAGCGACCGGGGCGGAGGCGAGGGATTCGGCCGCGCGCATGGCGCTGCCGCTCTGACCCTAGCTGCTCCACCCACCCACCACCCACTCGGCCAGGCGCGCCGTTCTCTCCCTTTCTTCATCTCTCGTGTGAGTGAAATCTTCCGCGCTTTCTCCTTCGTTTCCTTTCTGTCTGTGTTGTCTGGTTTGGTCTTCGCTCTGACGACCGTACATTCGTGTCCGGACACGACCGATCTCGCTTCCCGACAGCTGGGGGCGTCATTTCGTGCCCTTGATCTGGTTCGCCCGGGCTGTAATTTCGAGCCCGGAATTGGCGCTTGCATGCGCAGCTGAGTGTGATTTGGCACCGAGCATCTATCTGGTACTCTGCTCGCAAATTCGTGGTGGAATTCCGTCTTACCCGTGGCGGTTATGATCAGGGAATGTGATGGGATGGTCGGCTCGGTTGGTCGGTGTCCGTGATCGATCTGCACGTTCTGTGCTTAGTTGCTCGTGTTTTATTCGTCTGCGTGGTTGCGGGTTGCCCCATACGGAGTATGGGTTAAGGTTAATTGCATGCTTGGGATTAGGAAGTTAGCTTGTGATTGTAGCCCAGAGGATATTCTATAGCATTGAATAGTGGTGGCGGCGGTGAGTTGGGTGATTAACGGTAGCAACCGACTAACGATTGAGGGGTACCGACCGGAATGGTTGGGCAGTGAGAGCTACTTCATGGAGGGAGAGGCGGAGTTGCCAAGGAGGGTTGACCTAGCATTGAATATGTGCTTGGCTGTCGAAAGGGTTGACCTAGCATTAACGTTCAGCAAGTGCGCTGTTTATTTGCATTTGGTACTTGCTGCTACGTCTGGCTTGTGCGTCCTTCCAAGGTTGGAATTCCATTGGTCTGCCGTGCTGCTTTTCTGAACTGAATCGATGGGCAACCTTTTGGTAAACACTGCAACAATGTTTGACTACATGTTGGTTCCGTTTGATCAAACATGTACTGTTTTACTACTTCATTGGCGGTACCAATTGCAGTATCTGATTATGATGTTATGGGCATCATAGCCTTATGGTACTTTTGGTTTAGGTCCTAAATATTCTCGCTAGACTAGAGTTTAATCTTATTTTTCATTCAGAATAAAAAACGAGGAGGACATATTATTTGGCGTGCCCTTGAGGTGGATGTGCTCTCAACTGAGAAGCTTCACTTTAGAGCATGTCAGTTCACCACATTGTAATATAGCTGCTGGCTTGTAGTTTGCGGGCACTCTAGATAACTGTGACCGCACTGCTATATGACCATATATCTGGTCTTTGACTTCAATTCTACGAGTTCTTTGGTCTTCTGCATTTGTAATTCTTCGAACTTTTCTCTTTTGATCATCGCTTATATACTAAATTATTTTCTTTCGTTTCCTTACTAGAAAATGGCGATGATGGTGGATCCTCCGAATGGAATCGGGAGCCAAGGAAAGCATTACTACACTATGTGGCAGACCTTATTCGAGATAGACACCAAATATGTGCCGATCAAGCCCATTGGGCGAGGAGCTTATGGGATAGTTTGTTCATCCATCAATCGTGAGACAAATGAGAAAGTAGCAATAAAGAAGATACACAATGTTTTCGACAACCGTGTGGATGCACTACGGACCTTGCGGGAGCTGAAACTCCTTCGCCATCTTCGCCATGAGAATGTCATTGCTTTGAAGGACATAATGATGCCAATACACAGGAGGAGCTTTAAGGACGTGTACTTGGTCTACGAACTCATGGATACTGATTTGCACCAGATAATCAAATCGCCTCAGGGCCTTTCTAATGACCATTGCCAGTATTTTCTTTTTCAGGTTATACTTGGGTCACTCTTCGCTATTCTGAATGTACTCTTTCATATCTATGTTGTTCAACAAGTAGATTATGTGTATTGTAATGCTCTTTAGCCATTAGTTACTCCCTCCATTCCGAATCATAAGACGTTTTGGCTTTTCTAGATACAAAGCTTTGCTATGCACTTAGATACACACTGTCTAGATACATAGTCAAAGCGATGTATCTAGAAAAGCCAAAACGTCTTATAATTTGGAACGAAGGGAGTACCTAAATAAGTGTCATTACGTGGTGCGCACAGCCACACTGTACCTCCACTGCAGCAGAGGAGTATTATTAGCATTGGTACTAATTTGAAGTTGATTTTTATTGGACTGATGATCCAGCCTGGGTGTCAATTTAGTCATAATATCATAATCAACCTAGGTCCTGTTGCATTGGAACATCTTTTTTTCATAAGTTGTTTTCACAAAAAATTGTTATAACAATACTTTTTTCATAAAGAATATTATGAAATCATGAAATCCAGATAGAATACGAAAGGCAATATGAAATAATTGCATTTAGAAGCACATAATCTCCAGTGATATTCTGGTTGGTTCTACATATCCTTGCACTTAATTAATTGGCCAGTTATCTTCTCTTTTGAAACTCAGATTACTCTGCAAATATATAGACAACTTCGAATCTAACGTTGTGAAACTATTTAAATCTTTGTATTTCTTTTGGGCTTAAAAGTAAAATCCTACCTTTTGGGTTATATTTTAGTCCATAGAATTATCCAAATCTGATATTCATGATCTTTTTTCTTATGCAAGTCCAAATCAGCAAGCAGTTGAGCATGCTGCAGATGTTAATAGCTGTCACCATGTTTCCTCTTTGACAAGTTTTGAATTTCTCAAGTTTGATTTGATCTGCTTATATTGTCACATGCAAACAATTCTTAGTCATTCTCTCATTGACTTATCAAATATACAATTATACATTATTGCCCACATGCTTTATGCAGCCTAACACCCTCCCTTTAGATGTTTACATATTACAGCTTATTTTACTGACTTGCTCGAGCCAGATCTCCCACTCCAAATGATATTTGAGTAAGACAACCTGCACCTTATTTGATAGACTTCCTGTTCCAAATAAAACAACAGCTTTTATTGAAAAATGGGATCATCTGGTAAAGCTAGCAGTTCTTTCAGCCAGCTTGCATATTTACAAAGAGTCCATCCAATAGTTAATAGTAGTTCTGCATAGGGCTTAAGAATTTATCCAGTAGCTATAATAAGTAGTTCTGCATAGGAATTTCTGGATGAAACTATGAAAAGCAGAGTTTATCCTCTACATGACGTAAGGAGCAGGTTGATGAATTTCTTGTTCAACCTACCCTTCAGCAGTCCAGCTTCATTTTTTATTTTGAGAGGGCAGACCCAGTGCTGGAGGCTCCCATATGAGTGGGGTCTGGGGAAGGGAAAAAACGAGGCAAGCCTTCCCCCCGCAAAATCTGCGGAGAGGCTGCTTCGAACCTGCGACCTGGTGACTCAGTGAGACAGCTCTCACCACTGCACCAGAGCTTTATTTTTATTTTGAGAACCTTTGTATTTTTGTTTTGTCATTTCATCATGATATTTGCTATCTATGTTACCGCTAATAATCTGACGCACTGTTCTTTTTCTTCATTGTAGTTGCTCCGAGGACTGAAATATCTCCATTCAGCAGAAATACTCCACAGAGACCTAAAACCTGGAAACCTGCTGGTGAATGCAAACTGTGATCTGAAGATATGTGATTTTGGTCTTGCACGTACAAACAGTAGTAAAGGCCAGTTTATGACTGAATATGTCGTCACCCGCTGGTACAGAGCTCCTGAACTGCTCCTCTGCTGTGACAACTATGGCACATCCATAGACGTTTGGTCTGTTGGGTGCATCTTTGCTGAGCTCCTTGGCCGCAAGCCAATATTTCCAGGAACTGAATGCCTAAATCAGCTCAAGCTCATAGTAAATGTTCTCGGCACCATGAGTGAGGCTGACCTAGAGTTCATCGACAACCCAAAAGCTCGGAGATACATTAAGTCCCTTCCCTACACTCCTGGTGTTCCCCTCGCAAGTATGTACCCACATGCGCATCCTCTTGCCATTGATCTATTGCAGAAGATGCTTATCGTCGACCCCACCAAAAGGATTAGTGTCACCGAGGCTCTCGAGCACCCTTACATGTCCCCTCTGTATGATCCAAGTGCAAATCCCCCAGCCCAAGTGCCCATCGATCTCGACATAGACGAAAATATCAGCTCAGAGATGATCAGGGAAATGATGTGGCAGGAGATGCTTCACTACCACCCTGAAGTTGTCACAGCAATAAGCATGTCGTGAGATCCCACTGCACCAGGACATCGGCAGGCTCACCTTTGTTTTTCCCCTTTGATAAAAGCCTACCGCGATTAGCCGATTATGGCGCCTAGCTGTTGTAGTACCCTTAATGTCTGCTTGGAACCAATTACGGCGCCGCTGTTGTAGTACCCTTAATGTATCGCCCAATAAGAGCGGCGTATGGATAGATGTTATCACCATGGACCATTACTTGTTGTATGTACTCTATGTCTGTCGACTGTTGTGTTGTTGTATGAGTTTATGAATCATGAAGCTCTATTAAAGTGAAATCCCATACATGTTAAGTTCGGATGCTTCCCTACCTTCTTTTGTTAAACTCTGTTTTCTCCGGGCGATACATCATACATTTGTAAAATAAAACGTCGTGGACTGCAGCGCGTTTCTGCTGAATGCGCACCTCGAGAAACAACTGAAAGCTTAACTGGGTCATCAACTCTCTGTACCATTTCCGACCAGTTGATCAGCTCTGCAGAGCAGCAGCATACATATGCAGAAGGAGGCTGTGGAGGATCAACCAATTTCATCTGCGCTGTCCATGCCGTTGGTTGGAATTTTGCCTAGATGTCTGTGGATAACTGAGCTGAGCAGGTCCGTGCCATATCATTTCGCTCTTTTGTCTGATGCACTGCAAGTAAAAAAGATACCATCTGAAATATCTGATATCTTGAACCTCAGCTTCAGCCAGCCACGTGTTGGTTTATTTTTTTTTATAATTTTTACTTGATGCGCGCCTTGTGAAATAAATTTTTTATTGCAAAGTTTCCAGGTGGTGATGAAGTTTCAAGGAGATCTGTAGTGTTTTTCTCTTTTCGTTTTGATTTGCTACTGTCTTTTGGCAGTGACTGCAGTACATGTTTCGTGTAGTTGGATGCCTGCAGCTGCAGGTTATTTACCTATCCAAAGCAGTAGCATGCCTAATGCATGAACAGCAGATGCTGTCAGTTGATACTTAGTGCTTACTACTACATAATAATCCATGCTAATTTCTAGTCGTTTTTCTTCGCAATGGATGTTACAGAGCAAAGTGATATTCAGTCGGTAATTTTGGAGCAGTAAAAGCAAAACAAAACCCATCATCTGAGCTGCTTGCTGTATGACTGTATATTCTTCTAACATGACTTTATTTCCTTCCTTTACCTCACATTGTAAACCTGAGACAAACTATCTGACCACCATGCCATGACAATCCACTCTAAAGACATCCTATGGTCTCCTCTCCTCTCCAGAGCAAAACTCCGAGAAAAAAAAAACTGGGAAAATTCTCACTCACATCTCTTAGCTAATGAGGAACTAAAAGGCCAAAAGGGTGCTGGTAAAAGAAAAGAAAAGGCTATAGCAAGGATCACTGTCTGTCTAGCTAGCTCTCTTCCTCCAGGGCTTGCTGAAGAAGAGATGGGCTCCTAACAAACCTCCCCTGCAAGAACCACAGTAGAACAAAACACAAACATGTCAGCACTTGATAAGCTTTGCTATGATGAACTGCATCATCAGGCTGAACACATGGTATTTTTTATTGTGATTGAACAGTGAGTTTTTGCCTTACGAACAGATCTTTTATGCTTCTAATCAGTTCAAGTGCTTGCCTTCATCCGAGGCCGGCAGTCGGCGTTCACCTTGCGCACTTGGTACCGGATCTTCTTGGAGAAGAGCCGGGTGCGCCTCTTCTCCTTGTACCGCAGCACACTGGCTTCCCTGATGCCACCGCCAGCTCCATTCTCCGGAAACAGGTCGATGTCTGCAAGCTTAGCCTGTGACAATGGTCAATGTAATGTTCATCAGTAAGACTGTAAGAGAGCTCCCATTCCTCAGTTGAGAACTTCAGATAGCATGGAAAGATATTCAGAAGGTACTTGCAGGTTGTTTTTGCATCATCATCATCATCATTGAAAAGTCTCTAAGGGAAACCACATGCTTGGTATGCCCATACTATAAAAGGCTGGCTGGACATATCTGTAGTTATGGTTTTGTCATATATATGATAATATGACAGGTCTAAATACTGGCAAGAGCCAGAGCAAATTGCAGAACAGCCAACTGAATTGGGGCTGAGTTTGTTGCAGTTGCTCTATCATTGGCCCAAGGGGCACCAAAATTGAGCCCAAAATGACCCTTTGCAAGAGGACAGACCTGTTTGCTTGGTACCATATCTCCAGGCTCTATTGTCTGTGGTCCACTGTTGAATAATTGAGGTTAACAAGCTATATATAACCAAATTGAATGGCTGAGTTGGATTAATCCATTCTCTAACATATTTTTTCACCCACAGGTGTAACAGTATTACATTGAACTTAAGAGCAGAAAGTAGTTCATTGAAATTTGAAAATCGTGCTTACCGAGACATAAGACTCTAAGGTTCACTATTTCTGTATTTTCTCCCCTGATAAACAAAAACTCAATATTTTTTCTAGATAATCTTTTTTTGTATGGGTTACTGCAGTACCGCTGATATTCTGAAAAAGACGTGTCCTCACTTATATGTAGCAGTGCAGTACTATACTACACAGTACTTTGTGTGAGGGACCATCCATTTAGATAAACAGTCTGTGTACTATACATGTTCGCTTGATCGTATCAGCTATGCTTATCAGCCATGATACAGTGTTTTTCTTTCACAACAAAACAGTAGCAGCCGGCTTATAAGCCACAGAAACGATCAAACAAACAGCCCCCTTGAAGGAAGCAATTCACAATTCCATTTTTTTCCTCTTGCAATTGATGAACTCAATTTGAAATGAACTTTTCTACTTCCTATGTTCCAGATTGTAGGAGTAGATTGTTTTGGCTTTTTTATACATAGTCTTTACTATGCAACTATAATATTTAGAATTTCAAAATTTTAAATGAATGAACACTGAAGATGTATGCAGATGGTACCGAATGATTACATACCCGCACTTCGGCGGCCGACGTCGGCGACTCCGGCCCGCTGCCCTCGGCAAACATGGACCCTTTGTCGGACCACGCCTTGAGCACCTCGTCGGCGTCCAGCTTCAGCCCCAACCCGGTCTTTGGCGCCTTCGTCGGCGCACTGTCAGCGTCACCGTCGCCATTAGCGGTATCAACAGAGCCTTCAGCTTCCTCCTTGCATTTCGCGTTGGGAAGCTCCTCCTTTCCCTTCGCCATGATCTTCTCCACCTTCACCACCTTCTTCTTCTTGCTTTTCTTCTTCTCTGGCGCGGCGGTGGCCTGTGGCATTGCGGCGTTCGACGCCGGCGGTGCTGGCGGTGTCGGTGGTGCAATCGTTAAGTCCTTTACCGGCACTGCCGGCCACATCCACCAGGCGCCGTCGTCGTCCCGCCGCTTCAGTGCGCGGTTGAGGTTGGGCCGAGCGCCGTGCCGGAATCCGAGGCCGAGCTCGAACCTGCCGGCGAGGCCGACCACCATGAGGCTCCTGAGGTAAGGGTGTATGCCGGAGCTGGACAGGATGGAGTCATCGGACATGGTGGCGGTGTTGTTGCTCTCGACGGCGAGGCTGCCCATGATGCCGTCGAGGCCCTCGGCCGCGGCGCCGGCGGCGGCCTCGTCGACGTCGAGAATGGACTCGGCGTCGAAGCCGTCGTCGTCGAAGTCTATCTCGCCAAGCTCGTCGACGTCGACCGTGTCGGGGCTCGCCGGTGACGGCGCCGGGTCGCGGAAGTCCCGGAACGCGCTGCTCACGGGGGCCGGCGACGAGCAGTTCTTGGCGCTGGACGGGCTCTGCGGCTGCGGCTGCGGCGACGGCGACGGCGCGGGCATGTCCCGGAGCAGGAATGCGGAGTCCGCGAGCACGGGGAGCAGCGGGAGGAGGTCGGAGGAGGCGTCGAACGCCGCCGCGAGCCCGGAGAGCTGCCGCGACGGCGGGCGCGGCGGCCCCGTCTTGGGGCTCTTCTTGACGGGGAAGACGGAGGGGTGGATGGACGCCAGCAGCGCGGCGGCCTCGTTGTACGCCTGGTTCGGCCGCTTCCGCGGCGCGCGCGCCCGCTTCAGCGACACCGACGTCGCCGACGACGAGGCGTTGGACGCCTCCGACAGCGTCGACGACGGCGATGAGTGCACCGGGCGCAGCGGCGACGAGTGCGCGCCCGGCGACGCTGCCGCCTTCACCATATCGAGGTCCAGCCGCAGGCCGGTTGGTATGCAGGAAGACGACATTGCACCGCCTCAACAGCAACGCAGCTACCGTTCAAACGATCGCCTTCGTCTTCTTGGAAGGGAAAATGGGCAGCTCCAGCTATTCTTGGATTAATTCCACAACCATGAATCCAAGAACACCGGGGCAAGAAATGGCTGAACCTAATCGATCAGGGCCCCTAAAAAAATTCAAGAACCCAAACACTTTGCTAGTTGCCTCCACCTGGGGCACCAACAACACCTTGGAGAAGATGAGGTGGAAAAAAAAAGATTTTGTCTTTGCAGCTGCTGCACATGCACTCCTCTGTGGCAAGAAGAGGAGGAGAAGCAGAGTGAAGAAGCAGCCAAGAGCACAAGAAAAAAAAATCAGGGGAATTCCCTGAGCTGAGTTGAGAAGCTGTGTTGGGATTGGGGACGAATGGAGAGAGCAGCAATGGTACTTCTTGGATCGTTTGGAGGATGAGAGAGAGATTGTTGAGAGAGAGAGAGAGAGAGATTGGGGAATTGGAGAGAGAGAAAGAGAGGAGTATGGGGGAATTGGAGCTGGTTGGGGGAGGAGGAAGAAAGGGTTCAAGAGAAGGAGGTACAGGGTGGGGTTTTAGAGGGCTTGGGATAGGTGGCCAGAGGATGAGACAAGCCCTCTCATCAGGTCCCTTTCTCCCCTTCTGCCTGTGGGACCCATCACCCATGCCATTTGCAGGGCCCACACAGCGTTTTGGGCATCCCTCCCCTCTCGTAAGTCATATGTGCTCTTTATTCATCCTTTCTAGGTTGTACATGTGTTGGGAACTTGGGATTGCTTTGCTTGGGTCATCATATCTGAGATTTGCAAATGGCTAAATGAGACCAATTTGCCCTACCTCCCAAAATTC